GGAAATGGCGGTTTCAAGTCCCCCGACCCCAGCAGGTCCTGCTGAGGCACCAAGTCTCCCAAGACCCCCTCCCTAGCTCAGCACAAAGTCTGGGGAAACCACCGAACCGGCACTGCCCCCTCGCCAGCCCATGCACTTTTTCTGATGGCGTCTCCAGCTCGAAGTGGCGGCTGCTCAAGTCCCTCCACTCGCTGGTTTGAAGCCACCGCCATTGACCACCCCTCTCCCCCACGCACGGTGGTTTCAAGACGCCCCCCTCCTCCCAGTTCCTTGCACTTTATTCTTCTGAGTGGCTCAGCCCACCCTGTTTCTCAGTGGCCATTTGTTGTGTCCCTCAGGGCGGCTAAAGGGTTCAAACTCTGATTCTTCTGCCTCGAGGACTCCCCGGTTTCAGTTCGGAAGTTGGGGACCCTAAGCGGAGGCATCCCAGGGAAGGGGCTGGGGCTGGGCGTTCCCCCCCGGGGCAGGGCCGCGTCCTTGTGTCTGTCTTTGTGACTAGTCCTGCCCTGCCCCCCCACCCAATAAAACGCTTCGGTGACAGACTCTGTGGTCAGTGGCCTGGGGGTCAGGAGTCCTGGCCCCCTGTCCAAGCTCCAGGCGCCCATCCCGGGCCTCCACACCGCCCCAGGGCTCAGGCACGGCAGGTGTCTAAACACGTGATTTATTGGGCCTCCCCCGTGTCCCCCCCCCCCACAGCAAAAGCATCTCTGGGTCGGACCCTCGGTCAGAGTGGGCCGCTATGCAGCGAAGCGTTCCAGGAAGACCCCCGGGTGCCCCTCCCTCCGGGGCTCACACGAAGTTGTCGGGCAGCGTGGCGGGGGACAGGGCCTCCAGGCGCTGCGGGCGGCCTCCGCGCGGCGGCGGGGGCAGCTTGGGTGGCAGCGGGGGTGTTGGCGGCGGCTGCTTGGTGGCGATGTGCGAAGGGACCCAGGCATCTGGCGCGTAAAAGTACAAGTCGTAGGGGTCCTTCGGGGTGTCCAGGTGCATCACTGTGGAGGCAAAGCGGAGGGGTCGCGCCCGGCCTAACGGCCACGCCGCTGGCCATGCCGAGGCCCCAGCGAAACTCCGCATCGCCGGCCTTTTAAACAGCGTAGGGGCTCTGGAAAGAGCACGGGAGGCGTGGCCTCGGGCACCTGGGCATGGCCTGCAGTGCATGGGGCGTGGCTTCCAGGCACCTGGGCATGACCTAAAGTACATTGGGCGTGGCTTCCGCGTATCTGGGTGTGGCCTGTAGTGCATGGGGCGGGCCTGTAGTGCAGGGGGTGTGGCCTGCAGCACATGGGGCATGGCCTGTAGTGCATGGGCGTGGTTTCTGGGCATCTGGGCGGGGCCTGCAGTGCATGGGGCGTGGCTTCTGGGCATCTGGGCGGGGTCTGCAGTATGCAGGGCGTGGCTTCCGAGCATCTGGGAGGGCCTGTAGTGCAGGGGCGTGGCCTGCAGTAAGTGGGGGCGGGGCTTCCGTGCATCTGGGCGGGGCCTGTAGTGCACGGGCGTGGCCACGCACACCAAGCAGGAAAGGGCGGGCTCCAGGCCCGATGCAGTGCCTCCCTGGGCGGCCAGGGCTTTTACTGGCCTTGGATATGAGGGACCAGTCCGTTTGGGCAGGGCGCCCTTGGGTGCTGGGTGAGGGCGGATTCAGGAGACGTGGATGCAGTCGGGGCGGGGGCGGGGCTCTCACCGGCTTCGTCTCCGTGGTCCGGGAGCCGGTGGTGTGCGAAGGGGCGGTGCCGAGCCGCGCGGCGGTACAGGCACCACAGCAGCAGGAAGATGCCGATCAGCAGCCCGGTCCCCGCGAAGAACAGGCACAAGGCCCCGCCTCCCGCGCCGCGCGGGCGCCCCACCAGCGTCACGCCTGGCGGAGGAGACCGCGCTCAGCTCCTAGCCCTCCTCCCTCGGCCCCGGGGCCGGCCGCAGCGCCTCCTCCCTCGGCCCCGGGCGTCCCGGCCAGCCCCTCACCGGTCTCCTTCACTCGTTCCACCACGATGATGGTGTTGACGCTGTCGCCTCGGCTGCGCCTTGGGGGGTCCCTGAGAGTGGCAGGCGCCCGCTGGTTGGGGGGTCCTGGGGGAGCAGGGGGGCTGGCAATCCGGGCTGAGGGAGGAGGGGTGTCAGGCCCTTTGGAGCTAGAGTTCTGGGGGGCCTTCAGCTCCACGGCCCCTGGGGACTCTGAGGGGGGCAATGTCGGGGAGTCGGGCTGGGTGGCCGCCGGGGTGTCAGGTGTGGGGCTCAGGTGCGCCTCGCCGAGGGCGGTAGCTTCCTCCTTGAAGGTTGCAGGCGTGTCTGGGGGAGGAGTCGTGGGGATTTCCGGGTCAGAGGTCACGGGGGTCTCCGTTGCATTTCGGGAGTGGGTTGTGGGGAGCTCTGTGGGGCCGGGGTTGTGGGTCACATGCGGTTCTGGGTTGGGGGTCCCAGTAGGGTCAGGATGCAGGGTCTGGGGAGTCTCAGTGGTGTCGGGGTCACGCGTTTCTGGAGATGTGAGGTCAAGGGTCTTGGTGGGATCGGGATTTGGGGTCTCTGGGGCTTCCACACGTGAGATTTCTGTGGCGTTAGGTTTGGGCGTCTCTGGGGGTTCCGGGTGTGTAGTTTGGGTAAGGGTAGTTGAGGCCACGGGTGATGCTGAGTGTGGAATTTCAGCCGGGTCAGGTTTGGGGGTCTCAGAAGGGTCTGGGGTGCCCGGGGATTCTGGAGTAGGGGCTATGAGTGGGTCGCGGGAGGGGGTCTCAGGAGTCTCTGAGAACAGGGTCTCCCCGAGGTCAGGCGCGGGCGTCTCGGTGGAGCCGAGGGCAGAGGGCTCCGGGGCAGCCGCGCGAGCGGTCTCGGAGGGCTCGGGCCCCTCTCCCGCGGCCGCTTCAGGAGCCAGAGGGGAGGTCTCGGAGGGGCGGCCCACCGCGGTGGGGTCGGAGCCGGAAGACGGTGAGGCCGTGGGGGCGGCTCTGGAACCCAGCTGGACGAGGAGGAAGGCGAGGAGGAAGAGGACGGAGCGGAACGGCTTCATGGCTGGGAGGTGCCTATAGCTAAGACGGGGAGCGGGAAGAATGGGGTTAAGTTCGAAGGGGCGCGCGGGCCCCGCCCACGCGCAGAAGCCACGCCCGCCGGTCCCCAGGAGGACCCCGGCGCTGGCCTCGGTGGCCCGGGGAGACCGAGGCGCGGGGCTTCCTGGGAGTCGTAGTTAATGCCTTATCTATCTCCCTAGGGGGTCCTGGAAACATTGGGAGGGATGACACCTGTGCAAGCCCGCTGGGCTCCCAGTCCGCGGAGCTCGGACATCCGCGGCGGCCCCAAGGAGGGCTGTGGGGCCGGACTCCCGGGTTGGCCGCGGGCAGGCAGAGGCCCCCCGGGGCCCGGGCGGGCAGGTTGCCGGGGGCTCAGGCTCCTGAACCCCACAGGGTGAGGGGACTTGAGGGTGGAGCCTCCTGGCTCGTCAGAGGCTTTGGGAGCCCTCAAGTTCACGGGCCTAGGATTTTGAGGCAGCCAGGCTAGGAGGGTTTGGGGGTTGGAATTCGTGGGTGCTGCGTTCTAAGGGAATTGGGGGCCCTGGTGCCTGGGTCCTCCAGAACTAGGGGTCTGGATTCCCCAGCCTGGGGGGGGGGCAGAGAAGAGGCGCACCTGTGAGCCGGACCCCTCCCTCTCCCTGTGCACTGAGGACAGAGCTGGGAGTGTGGAGTCCCTGGGGCTGAGGCAGGGGGTCCTGGGGTCTCTTACCTGCCCCGGTGTGGCCGAGATGCAGCCGCCGAGCAGAGCTGGATGCAGGGACAGCGGCTGCTGCAAGAATGGCTGTGGGCAGGGTGGCAGGAGGCAGGGTCCCAGGGGTGCGCAGGTGACGCACCTGACCCCTCTCTGGGGAACCTGGACGCCTAGCGACAGGATGAGGCTCTTAAAGGGACAGGGGTAAAGGACCTTGTCTCTGGGGGCGGGAAAGGGAGTTGGATGTTCTGGGGAGAGATGTGGGCAAGCAAGCTATCTTCCATTTGGACCCGGGGTCCCGACCCTCTGTCTTCCCCTACTCCCAAACCCCCAAACCTGAGAGTCGAGGGGGGGCTGCTACATTCCCCCGGGAGGCAGAGCCCTCATCTCCCTCCCACAGGCCAAGGAGCCCAGGCCTTCCCTCACCAGAATGCAGGAGTGAGTCTCTGTCCTGCCTGCCCAGACCTAGGAGCCTGGCCCCTCCTCTCCGGGGGAACTGGGAGCCCAGCTCCCCAAGTCTCCAGATGGCTGCTGCCCCTGTAGGACCGCCAGCCTTGGCCCCCACTCACTCCGCCACTTTTGTCTTCACCATGCCCACACTCCTGCCGCAGGGGACCCGGGCTGGCTCCCTGCTCACGGTCCCTCTGCGGCGCCTCCAATGTTGCTGTCTTTTCGACCCCAGGCACACACACCTGGACAGCCTCTTGCCTCCCCTCCCCTCCCCGTCTCTCCCCGTCTGCCCGGTGTCTCCCCGCGGGCTCCGTCTGCGGCACTCCCTCCCTCCGGGATGTTTCTCAAGACCTCTCTCTCCTCTCCGCTCTCCCTTCCTCCGTGGCTTCCCCCTCTTCCTCCTCCTTGTCTTTCCCTCTCCGGGTTCTGTCTTCTTTGTGTCTGTCCCTCATCAGTCCCTGGGCTCGGTGGCTTTTTCCCTCTTTCTCTCAGTCTCTGTCTTCTGCTATGATGGTCGCTATTTTTATCCCTCGGCCACACCCCCTGTGTCCACTTCTCAGTCTGTCCATCTCTCCCCCTCCCTCTTCCCTTCAGGTCCCGGCTCGGGTCCCAATTAGTTGGTGGCGGCCAAGGCAGCAGCGAGGCCCCCACCCCCGGCTTCTCATTACAGCTGGCTGTTCCTAATGAGCCTTGGGGGGCGGCTGACCTCGCACCCCAGCCCCGGGCCTGCGTCACTGCCCGAGCGGGGGCCGTGGAGGGGATATAAGGGGGCTGCTGGCCGGCGCTGCCCCAGCCCGCTGTGGTAGGGGCCCTGCGGGAGGCAGCTGGGGGCTGGTGCTTGGCGGAGTCCGGCGGCTCTGGCGCTGATGCGGACCTCACTGCGTCCGCCCCTCCTTTCCCCGCACGTGATGGAGTCCCGCCAGGTGTCCAGGAGCCCACGGGTGTGGCTGCTGCTGCTGCTGCTCCTTGTGCCCGGGGACGCCCGTCCCACCCCGGGAGTCGCCCTGCCCCCCGCAGGGGTTCTCAGGTGCGTGCAAGGCCTAGGACTTCCAGGGAGGGGTGGAGTGAATTCCAGAAAAAGGGACACAAACCCAAAGACAGGGCCGCAGAGACCCAGAGATGGCAGAGTTGGGGCGGGGCAGGGGGCAGCGGGGGAGTGGGCGAGAGCAAGACCGGGAAAGGCCGTGAGCAAAGCAGGTGCAGAAACGGATCCGGCCCTCGGGCGGCGCGTGCTGGGCGCCCGACGGGAGCCACGTGTGCGCCGAGCGCGGGGCGGGGCGGGGCGGGGCGGGGGTGGGCGGCAGGTGCAGGCACACAGGGACCCGCCCAGGGGAAGAGGGGCTTCGAGTCAGCCCGGCGGCGGCGGCGGGCGGTAACGGCGACTCCCGGTCTCCCCGCAGCCTCCGCATCCCGGTGCGGGCCCGGGCGGTCCCGGCCACCCCGGCATCGCGGCGGAGCCTGGCGCTGGCGGACGACGTGGCTTTCCGGGAGCGCGCGCGGCTGCTGGCCGCCCTGGAGCGCCGCCAGTGGCTGAACTCCTACATGCAGAAGCTGCTGGTGCTGGGCGCGCCCTGAGCGCCCCCAACGCCCGCCCAAATAAAGACCCGCGGACAGCTCGCGACCACGCCTCCTTCCTGTGTGACCGCGTGTGCGGGTGTGCGCGTGTGTGTAGGGCGGGCGGGGTGGGGCTGGGGGCCGCGTCGTCCCCTCTGGCGTCTCGCGCCTCGAGACCCCCTCCCCCTTTAAAAAGTATTTGAGACCCCCCCCCCCCCAAATGCCTGTATCGGCCAGGACTGCAGGAGGCCCAAGCCAGAGCCTGGAACTCAATCCAGGGTATCCGAACCATCACCACCGCTTCCCAGGGTGCGCATTAGCAGGGAGTTGGCTTCGGAGCAGGGATTCGAACCCAGGCTCAATGTGGGTGCAGGAGTCCAATGTGCGACCTAAGCTCCGTGCCAAACGCCTGTCCCACGTTCCTTTCTTTTTTTTTATTTTTTGACAGGCAGAGTGGATAGTGAGAGAGAGAGACAGGGAGAAAACGTTCCTTTCTTAAAATAATAATGATAAGCACCTGTCCCCCCCTCCCCCCCTCAGGAGCTGGCTTCTCTGGGCCCCGCTGCGCCCCCTCCCCACCCCTCGCCTCCGGATTCTTCCTTCCCATCCTGACCACGCCCTTTCCTCCCGGTCCCACTCCGCAGGACTTTTCCTTTCCTCTTTGGGTCTTCCAGCTCTGTTTTTCTGAATCTCGCTGTTCCCGCCCCCCACCCCTCCACACTTCCGCGCTTGTTCCGGGCGCACAGGGGCGGCGCTCCTGGCACCCAAGCCCGGGCTGCCCCAGACTTAGCCTCTGGGCCGCTCGGCGCCCCCTTTCCTCATCAGACACACCCCCAGAAGACGTCCGCACCACGCCGGATGCCCAGCGGAACGCCTTCATTGGAAAGAAGTTTCCGTCTCCTTTCAGGGCTTTCTGGCCGCGCCCCTCGCAGGAGACTTTCGGGGCGCCAGAGCGGGGCGGAAGGAGCGGCGAGGGGACCAGGCGTCCGTTCCGGGGGGCGCAGGCCGGAACGCGCCTCTCCGCCCAGGCCCGGGCAGCACCTCAGCCCCGCCCCCAGCGGTCACCATGGAAACACAGCTCGAGGGACGCGGAGGGAGCTGAACCGCGCGGTCCGCGCCGCTCGTACGGACCGCGCTCTGATTGGCCTGGAGGAGAGGGCGGAGCCAGGCGCCTGGGAGCGCGGGGAGAGGGGCGCTCCGCGAGCTCTCTTGGAATTTGCATATCCGGGAGGCGGGCCGAGCTGTAATTGGTCGTCGGGCCGCGGAGGCGGGACTGCGCCTCTGTCATTGAGGACTACTGGGTAACGAATAACTTCTGCAGAGCTACCTGAGTCGACCTCATTTTACAAATAAAGAAATGAGACTCTGAAAGTCAGGAGCAATTTCCCCAAGTTGTCAGTTCAAGTAAGGGACGGGAGGGTAACTGCAATTCAAATCTGTGCATTTTTTCTTTTTTAGAGATTTACTTGAAAGGCAGAGAGACTGTGTTGTGTGTGTGTGTGTGAGAGAGAGACAGAGACAGAGAGAGAGACAGAGAGGGAGAGTGTGTTATCTCTCATTCACTGGTTCACTCCCCAGTCGGGGATGGGCCAGGGTGAAGGCAGGAGCCTGGAACTGTTTGGGTCTCCCAGGTGGGTGCAGGGGCCCAAGCAGTTGGACCATCTTCCGTTGCCTTCCCAGGTGCATTGGCAGGGAGCTGGATTGGAAGTGGAGCACCTGGGACTCGAACCGGGCTCCAGCCATGACTTAATTCCTTGCATCACAATGTCTGCCCCCCAAATTGGTGCCATTTCTTTCTTTTTTAAGATTTATTTTTATTTATTTGTAAGAAAGAGTTACAGAGAGAGGTAGAGGCAGAGAGAGAGAGAGAGAGAGAGAGAGGTCTTCCATCTGCTGGTTCACTCCCCAAATGGCTGCAACAGCCAGAGCTGCACCGATCCGGAGCCAGGAGCTTCTTCCAGGTCTCCCACATGGGTGCAGGGGCCCAAAGACTTGGACCATCTTCTACTGCTGACCCAGGCCACAGCACAGAGCTGGATCGGCAGAGGAGCAGCCGGGACTAGAACCGGCATCCATATGGGATGCCGACGCTTCAGGCCAGAGCTTTAACCCGCTGTGACACAGTGCCAGCCCTGGTGCCATTTCAAGTCCAGAGTTTCCCCCTACTCTCACGGAGACCAGGTGTTGAAACGCTCACGAGCAGTGCCACACGCCCGGCACGCCCCTACGCACAGTGGTTCTGCTGGTGCTCAGTCTGTTTGCCGGAGAAGGGCGGATGGGGGCTGGCCTGGCCCCGCCCACACTCTGCTCTCGCCCGGATCCCGGCCTGACATCTGCAGCTTTCCCAGAATGGTGCCGGGGATCCCTTTCCTCGCCATCACTCCCCACAGAATCCAGCACTGCCCCCGGGTGGGAGCTCAGGGCTCAGTCAGGGTCCAGGCCCCAAACCCGCTGGTCCTGGGTCCGTCCTGGGGCTGTCAGTCACCGGCTCAGGCCGCAGGTGCTCCGCTAACCCCTCCCTCCTCCTGTCAGTCTCCAGCCCAGCCTCTCTGCCCATCCCCGCCTTTCTGTCCACTCCCAGCCCAGGTCAGGCCTCATCCCCGCCCCCTGGCCTGCAGCCCCACCCCTCCCTCCACTTTCTGGGGAGGGCCCAGGAGGTCTTCCCACCACAGTTACCTGCCTCCCCTGCCCGCCCTGCTGTGGGGGCTGGGAATGAAGTAAGTGCAAACCCGTCACGGGTCTCGCCCCCCTCTCTTCTATTTCCCACCACGCTCAGCCCCAAATCTTTCCTTGGCTATAAATCTTTTTATTTTTTTACTTAAAAATGTTTCTTATTTTCAGCCACTTTGAAAGCAGAGAGATGGGGTGCAGGGAGAGAGGGCGAAAGAGAGCATCGCTCATTCACCCTGGCTCACTGGGTAACTGCCCGCAGCAGCCTGGCCGGGTCAGGCCGAAACCAGGCGCCCGGAGCCCCTCCGGGTCTCCACCGTGAGTGGCAGGGCCCAGGCCCTTGAGCCGTCATCACTGCCTTCCAGGGTGCACTGACAGGATCGCACGCAGTGGCTTAGCCCCCTGTGCCACAGCCGCCCCCAGTTCTAAATCCCAGGAGCAGAGCGCTGGGTAGCCCCCCCCCCCCCCGGCTCAGCACCCAGGCTTCAGACTCTGTGCCTGCGACACCGTTCCCCTGCCTGCACCGACCCTCAACCCTTCGAGACAGCAGGTGACCCAGAGTGCACTTCTCCGGGGCTCTCGGACTGGGCTCTTCCCTCTTCTCTCCGCAGCCTTTCTCAGGGCGGGAGGGGTTTATAGCCTCAGCGCTGTGACCGGGTGCCTGCGTCTGAGTCACCTGAACCAGTCCCCTGGCAGGGGCCTACCTGGTCCTACTTGGTATCCCAGCCTCCCTTGCAGCTAGGACGGCCCGCCAGCAGCCCTGAGAAGCCTTGTGAAAAGAAGGGTGTGTGCTGGCCTCCTCGCGTCTCTGAAGCACCGGGGAGGCCGGGAGAACCTGGAGACCCCGGCCCCGGCCCCGGCCCACAGCCGCCCTCCTCCCTCCACACGCGCTTGGTGAGGAAGGAGCCCTCGGGGGAGGCCTCACGGGCCCTCATGGGCTGCGTCCTGCTGTTGTAAAGGATCAGTCCCAACATTAACAACCAAGAGACTTCACATGCAAACAGAACAGGGACGGGGTCCCCAACTGTATTTGGGGTGAACTGACCAACAGGGCGTGACAGAGACAGCCCTGGGGGCCTCACACTGGAGGGGGCTGGAGGTAGCAGAGCTGGAGGTGGGGCCACGTGGGGGCCGGGGACTGCACCAGCAGCAGGACTGAGAGCAGCAGCAGCAGCAGCAGCCCCACGGCCGGGGCTGGGACCCGCGGGTGCCGGGCAACCCTGGCGGGGAGGCGAGAGAGGGCTCAGGTGGGCCCCAGGAGAGCAGCCGGTCTCCCCTGTCTGACCGCCTCCCGCCTCCTGAGGTGTGTGGGGCGCACCTGAGCTGCTGGGGGCGCAGGCAGAGCTGGCCCCGGGGCTGCCTCCTGTCTGGGACCAGCTCCTTTATCACAGGCACCAGGGCTTGCTGGAGTCCTGGCTCGGCAGGGCTGCTGGCCAGAGAGAGGGGCGGGCATCTAAACCCGGCCTCTTCTGTGCCCCAAGCCCCTCCCCAGCCTCAGGGGTCGGCTGTGTTACCTCTCAGCAGGGCTTCCTGGGAAGTCTCCGGAGACAGGGGCAGCAGCCTGGGAAGACAGAGGACACAGCTGAGGCCCAGGCCCTGGGCTGGGAGAGGCCGTCAGGCCAGCCCGTTGGACAGGAGGGGACAGAGAAGGCGGCAGAGCACGGACGGGTGCAGCTTCTCCGGGACCCCCTGCTCTGCCAGCCCCCGCTGGGTCCCCTCGTGTCACCACCTGTCCAGGCTCACCCTCCCCGTGTGCCAGCCAGGGATGATGGCGACAGTCCCCGCGTCGCAGGGTGAACGCGGAGACTAAGTGAGCGACCAGCAGGCAAAAAGTAAGAAACCAAAGAACAAACAAAAGCCCCACACAAGCAAGCAAGCAAACGAGAAAAAGGGAGAAGACGGCTCCGAAGAGGGCCTGGCACACGGTGAGCACGCTCCCGCCTCAGTCCAGAAGGGGCCAGGGCCCGGGGGCAGACCTGGTCCTCCACGGGCCCGTCCCTGTGCCGGGCTCGGGGCAGCGAGGGCCCCTCAGTCCTGACCCTGCCTGTGCCAGAGCTGGCAGGCGCTCTAACCGAAGCCCCAGGATTCCTCCAGGGGCCAGGCCTGGCCCCTTGGCCGCTGCTCCGCCCTGTCTCTCCGGGAGGGCTCCGCGGATGATGGGGACCACAGTGATGGTAATAACGACAGGCGGGCACGGCGGGCAGGCCTTTGGCACAGCGGCTGAATCACCGCTTGCCCTGCCCCGACCCGGCAGTGCCTGGGTTTGAATCCCAGCTCCGTTCCCAATTTCAGCTTCCTGCTAACGCACACCCTGGGATGCACCGGGCCTGGCTCAAGTACTCGGTCCCTGCCGCCCACGTGGGAGACCTGGATGGAGTTCCCAGCTCCTGGCTTCAGCCTCGGCTAAGGCTGCTGTAGACACTTGGGGAGTCACTAGTGGGTGGGAGTTGTCTCTAACGAATACAATTATTAACCAAAAGCCCTTAGAACACCAATCTCAACCACTATCTCCACACTGCCACCCCTGTGCCAGTGGAACCAGGTCCTGTATGGGGTGGAACTGAGCCCGTGTCCGCCTCCTGCAAGCTGCGGGGACGCTGGGGTGGAGCCCGCCTCAGGGAAGGGAGTGCGGCACAGGCGGAGTCGGGGCAGGCTAAGCTCAAGGGCAGCCATCTTGGACAGTTGGGACCTGAGAGGCCCACGTGCCCACATGCCCACCAGGGTCTGGCAGGGTCAGGCAGAAACCACAGCCGGCACCTGCCTCCCTCGGGGCGGAGCACCCACAGGCTCCTCACCTGGCTCGTCCCCCTTCCTGTCGGCCTCACAGCTGGAGCCTCCGGGCAGGGGAGTGGCCGGCGCTCTGCCCCCAGGCGGGCTCTGAGGCCAGCTGAGGAGGGCCAGCCCCTTCCCCTGTGTGTGGGTGCGTGTGCGTGTCGTTTATGCAATCCGGGGGTGCAGTTGCGTCTGTGCAGCCCAGTGTGTGGGGCTGGGGGGTCCCCTGGGAACACGCAGGCCGCCCACTGGCTTCCAGGCCTCCCCCCGGCTCACCATCCACTCTCATTAGCAACAGCAAGGGCCTTGTTATTTCTCGGCCAAACGATTTTTCTCTCTGCTCCGGAAGAGTGGGGGTGAGGGACGGGCGAGGCTACCGCGTCAGCTTCCTGGGCCTGGCGTGGCCGAGGACGGGAAGGGTGCCGGGGACTGCCTACCGTGACCCGGCTCTCCACCGCCTCCTCTTCCTCCTCGCTTCTGGGCAACCTGGGGGCCAACAAAATTGCAACATGCATCCCCTCCCCTTCCCCCTCTGCCTGAGACGGGGTGGGGGAGGGGCCTTCAGAGCAGGGACTCAGCAGAGCCTGGGCTCCAGGGGCAGCCCTGGGGGGCCCTGCATGTGCGTTCTGGGGGAAATTTCTACCACATTCTCAAAGCAGCCTGTGACTCCCCAAAGCAAAAGCCCCCTCAGCAGGAGCCTGGCTTCCCCAGCCGATGCCCAGGGACCCCCAGCTCTCCCAGACCAGGCCGGTGCGGCTGCCCTCCCCACCCCCCGATGCCCAGGGACCCCCTCTCTCCCAGACCAGGCCGGTGCGGCTGCCCTCCCCACCCCCCGATGCCCAGGGACCCCCTCTCTCCCAGACCAGGCCGGTGCGCCTGCCCTCCCCACCCCCCGATGCCCAGGGACCCCCAGCTCTCCCAGACCAGGCCGGTGCGCCTGCCCTCCCCCACCCTCCGATGCCCAGGGACCCCCGGCTCTCCCAGACCAGGCCGGTGCGCCTGCCCTCCCCCACCCCCCGATGCCCAGGGACCCCCTCTCTCCCAGACCAGGCCGGTGCGGCTGCCCTCCCCACCCCCGATGCCCAGGGACTCCCAGCTCTCCCAGACCAGGCCGGTGCGGCTGCCCCCCCCCCCCCCCCCCGCCTACTGGGTCAGAGTCTGTCTTACGGGGTCTTCTAGGGGACCCAGCTCAGACCCCCCCACCCCAGACTCCACCCCCTCTCACACCCTTTCTTTAAGATGTGCAGACCCCTGGCTGCTGGCCCTCCCAGGCTCCCAGATTCCCGGAAACACCCCTGCGGGACGCCGGCCTCAAGCTGCACAGCCAGAACACCCCCTGGGGAGCCAGAAGCTGCTCCACTGGCCGGTCCGGCCTGCAGCGCATCGCCCACAGCCCAGCCCCAGCCCCGGCTCCCGCTGGGGGTGCATCGCTGCCTTCACCCTCCACCCCGCCAGGGATCCAGTGTGGGCCCCCAGCCTCTGCCTGGTCACATCGCAGCTGTGCGGACCCCTGGGGCGTCTCCCATGGGGGCAGTCAGCCTCCACCTGCACGCACGGCCGGGCGCTCACCCCCGGCCACCTCAGGGGCCACCACCTCTCACCCCGGCCTCCAAAGCTGAACCGGCCCCAGCCCTCGCCCCCGCGGCTGCTCGGCCCCTCTGCCCTCCGTTCCCTGGTGACGCAGGAGTAGGTCATGGGTGCAGAGGCCCCAGCCCGCCCCACCGCCGCTCTTCCAGACCAAGTCCAATTACAGGCCGCGGAAGGCAGCCTCATTATTTGCTGCAGCCCGGCCTGACAGGGGAGAGGGAGGCTCGGCAGGAAAGCAGCGGCTCCGGGGCCGGGGCTCGGGAGGAGGGCGGCGCAGACACCCAGTGCCTCCTGCGTCCTGGAGGCCTGCACACGGCCTCACAACCACTGCACAGTGCCAGGGCTGGGGTCTCACAGCCCGTCTCGCACACCAGCCCCACTGCTGAGGAGCCCAGCTGCGATCTGAACTCAGGCCGCGTGCCCTGCGTGGTCTCCCTGGCCCCGGGTCCCAGGACACTGCAGACACACTGGGGGCTGAGGGAGCTGAGCGGCCCGGTCTCCCTGCTCAGAGCCCGCAGCGCCCCGCCCAGGCGTGGCCTCTCCAGGAGCCTCCCCCAGCGGCGGGCTCAGGTCACAGCTCCTCAGGAAGGGTCCGGGCCGGGCCAGCGCTGCCTCGTCGTCGCTCCTTCTCCTGCACTCTCAGCTGAGCCGTGAGCGTCACTCTGAGGCGGGGGATGGCCCAGCGGGCACCAAGCTCCTCACCACACGGCCGGCTCCTGCGGTCCTTCTCCAGAGCTCACTGGCTCTCCCCGGCGGCTCCTCTGTGGAAACGAGAGGGTCAGGTCTCCCCTCTCTTCCCAGGCGAACCTCGCGCCATGGGCTCCTGCCCTAACAGTGCCTGCTCGCCCTGATTCCAGACCCCACACACAAAAGGTCCCTGGGCACACACACACCACCTTCCTCTTTGTCAGCCGCTGGGGGCAGAAGCCAGACCCACTGGTTGTCCTCAACTCTACCAAGACCCTGCAGCAGGGCCCGGGGCCAGGTCCCCCAAGCCCCAGTGCCCCGGGACGTCCCACACATCTCCCACACTGGCCTGGGCCCCCAGGAGTTTCCTGTCCGACCCCTTCCCCACCCGGGCTCCCGATCCTGGGCTGGTCCCCCCCGCTCCCCCGAAGGACCAGGTGCTGGTTTTGTCTGGAGACGCCTCGGCCACAGGGACCCACTCGCCACTGTTTTCTAACCGCGCCCCCTGCCTGCAGGTAGCCCCTGGATGTCCCTCGGGCGTCACATCCCGGAGGGCGCGAGGCCAGCAGCTTCCTCTGCCGCCCTCCCCGTGACCCCCAGCAGCCTGTCTGTCCGCAGCCCTGTCCTCCGACCTCGATTCTTCCTGCCCGCTCTACTTTCTCCATCCTGGGACGATGACCAGGCTCAACTCCATCCCTTCTGGCCCCTTTCGTGGTCCCAGAGGGATCTTTCTACGCCCAGAACCGACCCTACCCGGTGCTGTTCACAACCTGGGGTTCTACAGAGAGAAGCACAATCCCCCATCAGACCCTGGGCACGAAGGCCCGGCTCCGTGACTCAGCTCTGTACCCCCTGCGCCCCGTGCAAACGGCACCGAGGCCCAGGTCAGTCTGGCCTCTCACAGGTCGTCCCTCGGGGGGCACCGGAGACATCGAGGCAGAAAAGCCACAGAAAGTCTACCTGACACGGCCTGGGCGGGCGGGGGGGGGGGGCAGTGCTCCCCCAGTGCTAAGCGACAGGGACGCGTGATCTCTCTGTTTCTCCCAGGGAGAGGGAGAGGGGTGAGGGCGTCTGCCTCACACACGTCCTGGGAGGGTTCAAGGAGAAAGCAAACAAGCGCTGCTGGCAGAGAGAAACTGGGTGTCTCGCGACCCAGAGGAGTGCGTTTGCCCTCTAGGGACGGAGGACACAGTGGTGTCCTCGTGGTGACACAGTGCTGTTTGCAGAGCTGTCCACAATTTTTCTTTAAGAGAGGACTCTTAGGGGCAGGTGCAGAGGTGCGGCGGGTTAGGCTGCCGGCACTCCATGTCAGAGTGTGGGCTGCACTCCCAGCTGCTCCGCTTCTGATCCAGCTTCCCGCTCACGCGCTCCCTGGGGAGCAGCAGGTGACGGCTCGAGTGCTTGGGTCGCTGCCACCCATGTGGGAGCCCTGGATGGAGCTCCTGGCTGCTCTGCCCGCGTCTGGGGAGTGACCCAGCGGATGGAAGACCTCCGTCTCGCCCTCTCGCACTCTGCCTCTCAGGTGGAGGAGAGCGAGCACAGAGAAGGGCTCGTCTGACACGATGCTCGCTCGGGTCTCAGTGGACACTGAGTCGCACGGCAGGGGCTGGGGCTGAGCTCAAGGGCTCACGGGGCCGGCTGAGGCTTCTTTCTTTTTTTATTTATGTGACAGGCAGAGTGGACAGTGAGAGAGAGAGAGAGAGAGAGAGAAAGGTCTTCCTTTTCCACTGGTTCACCCCCCAAATGGCCGCTACGGCCGGCGCACCATGCTGATCTGATGGCAGGAGCCAGGTACTTCTCCTGGTCTCCCATGGGGTGCAGGGCCCAAGCACTTGGGCCATCCTCCACTGCCTTCCCGGGCCACAGCAGAGAGCTGGCCTGGAAGAGGGGCAACCGGGACAGAATCCGGCGCCCCGACCGGGACTAGAACCCGGTGTGCCGGCGCCGCAAAGCGGAGGATTAGCCTAGTGAGCTGTGGCGCCGGCCCTGAGGTTTCCTTGACAGTGCCTCACACTCAGCCCACCCTGAGGGTGTGCACAGATCTGAATAAGGTGGATCCTTGAGTGGATCGTTTCTTGTTGATATAAGTTTATTCCTGACAGGATTTTCCCAAAAGCAGCCACAGCGCCTTGGTCTGGTGCCTTGCTCGTGTCTGCCTCCCGGGCAGGCGAGGCCCTGGGCGAGGTGGCCCTCATGCGCGCCCTCAGCCAGCATTTGCTCATTGAAGGGGAGCAGGCAGAGGTGTGGGCAAAGGGCTGGCCCCGGGGGCCCCTTTCCCAGCCGCTGGACTGCTGTGCCCCAGCCCCGCTCGGCGCTCACCGGGTCCCCGGGTGGGGCTTCAGGTGGAAACCCAGCGTCCTCTTCCATCCAACTCATGGCTTCCTCCCACGGCCGCACCCCACACAGGGGGCTGCAGAGGTCCGCGGCCGCCGCTTCCTGTTTCTGGGGAGCATAAGTCGGTTCCGAAGTGAGGGAGGGCCAGGCCAGGGCAGGAGACGACGTAGGAGGTGCACACAGGCCCAGGCCTGGGGAGGGGAAGAAGCAGAGCAGGGGAGGGCGTGGTGCCAGGACCAAGGACTGGGTCAGAGATGAACTGAGAGAAATATGGCCATGGGGCCGGCGCTGTGGCGTAGCAGGTAAAGCCGCCGCCTGCAGTGCCGGTATCCCATGTTGGGTGCCTGTTTGAGTCCCAGCTGCTCCACTTTCCATCCAGCTCTCTGCTATGGCCTGGGAAAGCAGTAGAAGATGGCCCAAGTGCTTGGGCCCCTGCACCTGCGTGGAAGACCCGGAAGAAGTGGATCCTGGGTCCTGGCTTTGGACTGGCTCAACTCGAGCCATTGCAGCCATTTGGAGAGTGAACCAGTGGACGGAGGACCTGTCTCTGCGCTTTGCCTTCTCTGTGTAACTCTGACTTTCAAATAAATAAATACATCTTAAAAAAAAAAAAAAAAAAAAGATGGCCACTGCTGGGGAGTAGGGACAGGGCAGGGTGAGGCAGATCCGGGTCAGAGATGGGCCTCTGCTGGCCGCAGCTTGGGGCAGAGACGTGAGGGTAAGAGTGAGGAGAGCGCAGAGACCGGGGTGCCGCAAGACGAGGGGCTCCCCGAGGCCAGCTGCCCAGAGCTCTGGGGCCACAGGCCAGGCCTGTGCGAGGGGCCAGGCGGGGAGATGTCTGGAATTTCTGCCTTGGTGGCCGCCGGTGTTTTCCGAAGCTGCTAAACCCACCTGCTGGATGGCCTCGATCTCCAGGCCCAGCGACGGAGGCAGCGGCGCGGTCCAGTCCAGTCCTCTCCCCTGGGCCCCTGGGAGCAGACTGACCACACAGTCGGGGGAGGGGAGAAGGCTGCTCCAGACGCCTGCCGCCCGCCAGTCAGCCACGCTGGGCTCCCTCCCGCCTCCTCCCGTTCGCGTTCCACTCACTCATCCGGCCCCTCCGCCTCGTGGCTCTGACTCAGCTGCTGCTCTAGGTGCGAGATCTCCAGCCTCAGTTCCTGCAAAGGAGGCGGTGGGGGGACACCTGGCTCCGTTCTCCCCCGCCTCCCCCCACTGCCAGGTTCCTCTTCCAGGTTCCCCCCCAGCAGGTGCCTGGGAGCTGCGGGAAGGGAGCCAGAGCCTGATGGCCGGGGTGCACAGGGGAACTGCAGACAGGGCAATGCAGAGGCGGCCCAGGCAGAGACACAGCCGGCAACAGACTGGCTGCCCACAGCCACCCAGCAAGGAGTCGCCCAGGGAGGCTGACGCTGAACGGGAGCCAGAGAGGCACAGGGCGCAGAGGCAGGGAGGGAAGGAGCAGGAAGAAGGAGAACAGGCACAGAGAGGGTCGAGCGGGAGAACAGTGACTCGGCGGGTGCAGAAGACCTGGAGGCAGAGAGGCCCCAGGAGGGGCAGCGAGTCCAGACCCTGCACGGAGAGAGCGAGGGCAGCCCGTTACCTGGGTCGTCGTCCTGTACTCCTCCAAGGTCTTGGCCAGGCTCTCCGCGTGGCTCGTGCGCTGCGGGAGCCCAAAGCCCGTAAGCAGGGCCCACTGCCCAGAGGCAGGGGAGCTGCTACTGCTGGGCACTGGCAGGGCACTGAGGGGACAGGCTAGGGCCTGAGGACAGCACAGGCAGAGGGATTCCTCAGCCTGCAGGGCCACATCTGGGACCCCGGGGGAGCCGGGGTCAGACCCAGGCAGGACGTCCCTCGCCCGACTGCGACGGACCAGGCAGGTGACCAAGGCGGGCAACCCATCCCCCTCCCCGGCCCCTCACCTCGGAGAGGACGGCGTCTCGTTGGCAAATGAGGCGTTCACACTCGTAGAGCTGCCGCTGCCAGGGAAGAGCCCGTGTCTGTCTGGCCTCTGGGACTCCCCTCAGCCCTGCCCTCCCCAGCCCCGCCCTCCCGCAGCATCCCTGGCCGTCAGCCACCACCACAGGGGTCTCAACCGAGCCCTGTGGGCGGCCTCACCGGCCTGCCGGCTGGAGCGCTATGGAAGACCCTTGCTCTCGGCAGCCGTGGTGGCTGAAACCCGAGGTGGTGCAAACGGCCCGGGGATGCTGGGGAGGTGCCAGGCGCCAGGGCGGGGCAGCACCTTCAAAGCGTCCTTCTCCGTGGCCAGCTCCTCACTCCTCCTCTTCACTCCGTCCCGCTCGGCCAGCAGCTTCCCGTTCTGGAAGAAAGGGCCTCTGGCATCTGCCGAACGCGAGTGCAACCTTCCTAGAGGGGCCCTGGCTGTTTGTTTGTTTGTTTTTAGATTTATTTATTTATTTAAAAGGCAGAGTTACAGAGAGAGGGAGAAACTGAGACAAAGAGAGATCTTCCATTTGCTGGTTCACTTCTCAAATGACTGCAACGGCTGGAGCCGGGCAGACCTAAAGCCAGGAGCCAGGAGCTTCCTCCGGGTCTCCCACGCGGGTGCAGGGGCCCAAGGACTTGGGCCATCCTGTACTGCTTTTCCAGGCCACAGCAGAGGGCTGGATTGGAAGAGCAGCCGGGACTAGAATTGGTGCCCCTGTGGGAGGCTGGCACCACAGGTGGAGGCTTAGCCTACTATGCCACAGCGCCGGCCTCTTTATCCCCCATTTTAAAAGATAACTCGGGCGCAGAGAAGTCCAGCAGGCTGGCCCCGGTCACACTGGTGGTAGCTCCAGTACCTACATGTTGATGAGCGTAAAACAGCCAGTGTGTTTTCCTGGCAAACATCAAATGCTTGATAGATGGTGTACAAGCACGAGGGGTCTCCGACGTGTTCACGGGAAGATGGAATTCCCAGTTTGTACCAGTTTGGGGCGGGCACTTGGCCCAGTGGTTAAGATGCCACCCGTTAAGACATTTGCTTCCTGGGTTTGCTCCCTGCCTCAGGCTTCCTGCGGTGCAGACTCTGGGAGGCAGCACGGACAGCTCGAGTAACCGGGCTCCTGGCACCCGCCTGGGAGCCCGGGGTTGGGTTCCTAGCCCTTGGCTTGGGTAAGACCACTTCAAGCACCAGGGGAGTGGGCTGAAGACAGGATCTCTCAAGGTTTTTATATAAAGTTGTTTAGTTTGGTGTGAACAATGTTTGAGATCTATGCATTCCTCATAATTCTCATTTCCATGAGCTTTTTTTTTTTTTTTTTTTTTTGACAGGCAGAGTGGACAGTGAGAGAGAGAGACAGAGAGAGAAAGGTCTTCCTTTGCCGTTGGTTCACCCTCCAATGGCCGCCGCTGCAGCCGGCGCACCGTGCTGATCCGATGGCAGGAGCCAGGAGCCAGGTGCTTTTCCTGGTCTCCCATGGGGTGCAGGGCCCAAGCACTTGGGCCATCCTCCACTGCACTCCCGGGCCACAGCAGAGAGCTGGCCTGGAAGAGGGGCAACCGGGACAGAATCCGGCGCCCCGACCGGGACTAGAACCCGGTGTGCCGGCGCCGCAAGGTGGAGGATTAGCCTATTGAGCCACGGCGCCGGCCATCCATGAGCTTTTTGAACCCCCTCATGCATATGTGTACACAAGTATCTACATGAGAATTTTATTTCATATTACTCCTGTTTATCTGGAGGCAGAGACACAGGGACGAAGATCCAGCCGCTGAGTCACTCCGCAGACGCCTGCAGCAGCTACAGCAGGCCAGGCTGAAGTGAGCCAGCAACTCAGCCTGGGGCGGCCGGGATCCCCGCACTGGCCCAGGGTGCGCACTAGCAGGGGCTGGAAGTAGGAGCCGTCGGGGAGACCTGAACCCAGGGGCTCTGAGACGGGATGCAGCGTCCCAAGTGGCACCTTAACCATTAAACCAAAGGCCTGCCCTGCTTATTTAAAACTTTATTTACTTATTTGAGAGGCAAAGAGACAGACACAGAGAGAGCCAAAGCGCTCCCATCTGCCGGCTCGCTCACTCCCCAAATGCCCACAAAGGCTGGGTCGGGTCAGGCTGAGGCAGGGCGCAGGAAACTCAACGCACGTCTCCAGTGGGTGCTGGAAACTCAGTGACTGGAACCGTTGTCACTGCCTGCAGGAGCAGGAAGCTGGAGTCAGGAGCCAGAGCTGGCATCCAACCCAGGGATGCGGGCACCTGAACTGGTGTCTGTTTAAAAATACCTGTTTATTTATTTGAAAGTCAGAGTTACAGAGAGAAGAGACAGAGAAAGAAAGAGCTCTTCCATCTGCTGGTTCACTTCCCCAGATGGCCACCACAGCCAGGGCTGAGCCAAATCAAAGCCAGGAGCCAGGAGCTTCATCCGGGTCTCTCACATGGGAAGCAGGGCCCAAACACCTGGGCATCTTCTATTGGTTTCCCAGGTCATAGCAGGGAGCTGGATGAGAGGTGGAGCAGCTGGGACATGAACCGGTACTTATATGGAATGCGGGCGTCGTAGGGGGCAGCTTTACCCGCTAGGCCACAACGCCGGCCCCTGACGCGGTCTAGGCTAAATGCAGGCCCCGACTCGATTATTATGAAGCACATCCCAGCCACCCACTTCCGCTGCAGTCCCTCGGCACTGATCTGTTTGAGGACTCGCTTCCTTGAGTAAAAGCCACTTCCAGTATCAGCATCGTGGGGATCGACAACGTCTTCGCCTCATCCCGTACCTTGAGCTTTCTGGTGTGACTATCTCACAGATGTCTCTGCACGTTTGGTTTGTTCAGTGAGGACCCGCAGAAGGCCCTCCACTGCTTTCGGCTGAAGGGTTCCATTTCTTTCCATCTCACAGTGACTTTTCTTCGTCATTACTTCCTGCGACTGAGCGACCTAGGGGCTCGCCCAGACCCCGGTTTGACTTTTTGGCGAGAAGACTTCCCGGAGGCGCCGTGCCCGCCGTCCTAACTACTCACAGAATCACCACCCTCAACCGCACAGAGGACACTGAGCACAGGCTAAGAAACGTGGCCAAGGCTGCACGGTGAGCACGTGGATCCAGACCCCAGCACGCGTGATTCCAGATCCTGCATTCAGAACCTCAGACCCTCCTCAATGCCAGACGCAGCCCTGGGGGAGAACAGGGCCGGGAAGGGGACTGGCTTCACACGGCCACAGGGCGCTCCGGACTAGCAGGTGCACAACACGGGAGGCGATGCTGAGGCCTCCGGCCTGGCCACTGTGGGCGCCTGAATCTCCAGACAGGGACGTTGTCTGGGAAAACAGCCGGTGAGACCCCAGAGGAACACGCCCGAGCCCTCTGGGCACCAAAGGCTGAGGCCACGCTGCCGTGAGTTTGGAAGCGAGGCCGTCACTGGGGGCCATGTGCCCTTCCACCACACCCCTCCTCCAGGCACCCAGGGGAGGCCAAGGCCACTCCTCCCCGCGCCAGCCTGCTCCGCGTCGAGCTCCTCCTTGGTCTCAGCGGGCCTGGGCTGCCAGGTGAAGGGCGGGCAAAGGACGGGCAGGAGTGCTGTGTCAACATCTGTCCACCTGGTAGGGATCTGGGCCCGAGCCTGGGCCGCTCGGCAGGGAGCAGTTACTCAGCTGCTCCCGCCCCCTCCTGCAGTAACCCGAGCCAGGGCCGCGGTCTCCGAGGAAGGCGAGGAAGGCGGCCTGGGCCTTCGAGCTCCGAGCTCCGAGTCCTGTTACTCCAGCACTATCCTCCTGTAACGTGAGCTCTCCATCTCCAGCGGCAGCGAGGGCACCGAGAATAGCTCGCTATCGAGCGCCGGGACAGACCCAGCTGCCGCTCCCCCTCACGCCTTGGTTCCTCTGGGCATCCGCTGCCTGCGTCTGAGGGAGGCGGGTCCCAGCCCCAGGCTGGGGTGAAGCAACAATCCCGGAGGATTCGGGAGCTCAGCCAGCAGCCACTCTCCCTTTCTCGTTTGCTTGTCTCCATTCCAGAGGCTGGGGCAGGCCTCTCCTGGCCCTCTGCTGGGCTGGGGCGTTCTGTGATCCGGTGCCAGCCGGTGAGACAGGAGAGGTCCGCGGGGAGGGCGGAGGGGCTTCTGGGAAAGCTTTCCTCCAAGGAAGAGTCAGGAGAGCGCCTGCCGGTGCCCATGCCCATGGCCTCCCGCTCCGAGTGGGAGCTCCCGCGGCCGCCTGTGACCACGGGGCCGCGGGAAGACAAGCCAACCCGGACACGGCTGCTTTCAGGGCCTCTCGCTGCGGCAACAGCCGTCCTGCAGGGTGAGGCGTCCTCTCCCTCGGTGTTGAGCTTCCTGGGCTGTTAGAGGCCGCGAGGCCCACGCCAGGGGCTGGATGCCGGCGAGCTGCAGGGGAGGAGGTCTGCCGGCGAGTTTCCCCTTGTTCCTAAAGAGGCGTCCTGGCATAGACTGTCCCTCTCTGATCACTCCGCGTGGCCCACTGCGGCGCCGTCCTGCCGGGAGACTCCCACTGCGCCACAGGGCGGGCGTTCACGAAGAACAGGGAGAGAGAGTATTTTTGGATTGCTACGTGGAAGGCTAAGGGGAGAGCAGGACGCAGATCTGGGGAGACGCAGGGGTCTGGGCAGAAGTCAGTAGAGCTGAGAGAGGGGTACAGGAGAGTCGGAGCAGACAGCGACAGACTGTGAACGGGCCCGGAGCCACCCCTGGGCCCAGCTGGGCCGCAAGGGGCGACCGCGGTGGATGCCGGAGAACGGCGGAGCCCCTGAGAAGTCTGGGGACCTCAGAGGAGCGCCGCCAGCTGGGGCTCAGGACCCCAAGACGTGCGATGGACAGCAGAGAAATGTCTGACGAGGAACCGAGGCAGGGAGGGCCCGTGAGGCAAAGCAGCCAGACGTGCTCCAGGCCCAGGTGAGGGGCTGCCAGCAGACGTGGTGGAGACGGAGACGCTGTGGCCAGCGATCCGCAGGCAGAGCCGGCCTCCCCGCAGACACCAGCATGCGGCGGTGACGAGGGCCCAGCCAGATGGGGCCAGGAACATCAATTTTGTGAGCAGCAGAAAGGACAGACGCTGAGCAAGGCCCCGCAGGCTCCTGCGGCCGGAGGATGACGCATGGGCCTCCCGCCACGCCGATGCCGCCGTCAGGCAGGGGTGGGCCGGGGCAGGTGGCGCGGAGTTTGTCTCCATTGGTGAGTTTCCGTTTCAATGTGAAAGAACTAAGACACTGTTTTCTCTCTCAGCCAGAAAGGACTGGAGTTGAGAAGCTGAGCTGGGGCCTGGGCAAAATGCTGCCAGTTAACCCCCACAACTCCGAAGAACAGGAACCCTGCTCTCCAGTTCTTCAGAGAATAAGACTCGGACTTGGCGGGGAGCAGCCGGTGCTGCCTGCCACGTGAACAGCAGGGATGGGGTTTAAACTCGGGGCTGATTTCAAAGCCTACGTTCTTTTCACCATAAAGAGTACCGATACACTGGGTGCCTGGGACGCCTGCATCCCACATCACAGTGCCAGGTTCAGATCCAGCTTCCTGCCAATGTGCAGGAAGGGATTCTATGGGGGAGGCAGTGGTGACGGCCCAAGTGCCGGGGGTCCCTGCTATTTACATGGGAGACCTGGATGGAGTTCTCAGCTCCCGGCCTTGGCCTGGCCCAACCCTGGCTGTTGAGGGCAGCAGATGGAAGGTCCCTTTGTCTCTGTTACTTTGCCTTTCAAATACGCACACACACACATACGTATCAAGGTGGGCACTTGGGTAGGGGCAGAGATGCCAGCAGCCCACTCAGGAGTGCGTGGGTTTGATGCCTGGCTCTGCACCGACTCCAACACCTGCTGCTGCAGACCCTAGAGGGCAGCAGGTACGGCTCAGGTAACAGGGTTCCTGCCACCACGTGGGAGCCCAGGCTCAGCTGCTGCCCCACCTGGGGGCTGTTCTGAGCATCTGGGGAGTGAACCAGCGGATGGGAGCTCTCAAAAAAGTTATGAAAAATGCCAAGATACAGATAGATAGCAAGATACAGATGATGTCAGTGAGCAGAGCTTCCGTGTCCCACCTCACGGCCAGGGCTTTACACGGCTGCTCCAGCTGAAACCTCACCTCACCCCGCGCACCCTCCCAGGCGAGGACACAGGCCCACAGGCCCGCCAGGGCAGCTCTCACACTGTGTCACACAGCGACCTCGCGGGGCTCCTTCTGCGGTCTCCCCCAGCAGGGCGGGGCAGGCGCTGGTCTCAGCTCACCTCCTCCTGAAGAGTTTCCACCTCGGCCGCCAGGTGCTGCTGCTCCTTTTCCTGCCCAGCCCCAGAGAGAGGACAAAGGTTCCACTCCTCCTCCCTGGCCCCGAACTGCCCTTCTGCCACCCCCTGGGAACACACCAGGGCCTGAGTGTGAGAACAGGCTGGGGGACGGAGCCCTCCGGCCACTTGAGGGATGGCAAATAGACCTGAGGGAAAGTCTGGGGTGAGCGGCCTGGAAGGAGGAAGCTGGGAGCCCTCTGTGCTCCCCGCTCCATAGTCAGTGAGAGCCCCACTGCTCTCACACCAGGGAAGGAGAGGGCACCTCCCCCGCCCCCCAGGCCAGAACCCACCGTCTGCCGGGCCTGGGCCAGAAGCCTGCGATTCTGTTCCTCCAGGCTCTTGGCCAGGGTCTTCAGGTCCTCCAGCTCCTCATCCACGGCCTTGGCGCACTGCAGAGCCTGCTGGGTGCTGGGCGGGGGGGGGGGGGGGGGCTCTGTGAGCCAGAGCAAGGCAGAGATGGCCAGAGATGTTCCGCTCACAGAGCCAGAAGCGACAGAAAGCCCGGCTGAGGGAGGTGTGGCGGAGACACAGGGAGGGAGGGAAGCGCTGGAGCAGACCGAGGCCTTACCCTGGGCACCAGGGCTGACACCAAGAATGACAATGGGGCGAGCACTTGGCACGCGGCTAACGCACCGCTCGAGGTGGCTCCGCCCCACACTGCACACCTGCCTCCAGCTCCAGGTTCCCTCAATGTGCCCCTAGAGGCACAGCGGTGCATCAAGGACTTGGATTGAGTCCCAGGCCCCAGGCTCTGGCCGGGCTGGTTCCTGACTTCATGGGCATCTGGGGGAGTGGTCAGTGGAAGGAACCCATCTCTACATCTGTTGGTTTCCCTTTCAAATAGAAAATGAGGGACTGGTGTTGTGGCACAGTGGGCCAAGCAGCTGCCTGTGATGGTGGCTTTCCATATGGGAGCCAATTTGTGTCATGATGGCTCCACTTCTGATCCCGCTCCCTGCTAATGCACTCGGGAAAACAGAAGACGACGGCCCAAGTGCTTGGGCCCCTGCACCCACGTGAAAAGACCTAGAGCAGCTCTGAGCTGCTGGCTTTGGCCTGGCACAGGCTTGGCCACTGCAGCCATTTGGGGAGTGAACCTACGGATGGAAAAATCTCTTTCTCTCTCTTTGACTCTGCCTTTCAAATAAATAAATATTTTTTTAAAAAATGAAAATAAATAAAAAAACTTTTAAGTCTCATTAAAAAAAAAAGAATGACAGAGCACAGAGAAAGAACAGAGAGAAATGAAAGAAAAAGTGGGGCGAGACTGGGGAAGGGGACGCGGGGGGACGCGGGGGGGGGACGCGGGGGTGGGGCGCGGGGCGGGACGCGGTGGGGGGGCGCGGGGGGGACGCGGGGGTGGGGCGCGGGGGGGACGCGGGGGGACGCGGGGGGGGGGACGCGGTGGGGGGGCGCGGGGGGGACGCGGGGGGACGCGGTGGGGGGGGCGCGGGGGGGACGCGGGGGGGGGACGCGGGGGTGGGGCGCGGGGCGGGACGCGGTGGGGGGGCGGTGGGGGGGCGCGGGGGGGACGCGGGGGGACGCGGGGGTGGGGCGCGGGGGGGACGCGGTGGGGGGGACGCGGGGGGACGCGGGGGGGGGGGCGGGGCGGGAGCGCAGCCCGAGCCGAGCCGCGGCACCTGCGCAGCTGCCTGCGCAGGACCAGGATCTCCTCCCCCAGGCGCGCCGAGCCCTCCTCGGCCGTCTCCACGCTGCGCTGGAGCTTGGCGTTCTCCCCGGCCAGGCGCCGGTTGCTGAGCTCCAGGTCCTCCAGGCTGCTCAGCAGGTCGGCGGTGGCGGGCCTGCGGCGGCGGGGCAGGGGCCGGGTCACTGCCCACAGCCCCTGCCTCCTTCCCCAGGCCCAGGTAGGCGCTGTGCTGGGGGCAACCGGCTCTAGTGGAGAAGGGAACAGGACAGATTCTTTGCCCCCCCCCACGCCCCCCCGTGGGTAGGAGGGCGCCGGGCTGGGGCAGGAGGGGCTGAGGGAGGGTAGGTACAGCTCAGCTCTGGGGTCTTCGCCGCCGAAGCTCTCCAGGTTGGCCGGCTCCTCAGCTTCCAGGCCTTCTGGGGAAGGAGACGAGAGGCGCTGGCTCCCTGTGACCTCGGTGTCCAGGAGCCCTGGGCTCAGCTCACGCGGGCTCCCCGGGCGGCGGTCAGACCCACTACAAAGGCCTCTTGCTCCTCTCCACCTGGAGGTCGGCTGGACCTCCCAGGGAACCCCAACCTCCCTCATTCCCTACTATTAACACTGGGCAGTGCCTCAACTTCCCCAAACCCACTCCTCTCCCTTCACCCCCCACCCACCAGCCACGAGGCTGGCCTGGCTCCCAGTCCCGGCTTCCTGCCCATCCTCTGCCTCTCTGCCACCCCTCTTCTCTGTCCCGCCCAGTCCCCCCCAGTCTCACCCTCTCCTCCTGGCCTTGTCCCACCCCCTCATCAGCCTCCCCCTGGCCCCCAGCCCCCAGCCCCCAGGCCTGCCGCAGGAGGTTGAAGAGAAAGTCAAGGAAGCTGCAGGTTTGGTTTTGTCCTGGGAAGGCCGGACGGCCAGAGCTGGACCACTGCATCACAGACCACCAGTGTGCCTGCGGCCCTGGGGACGCCATGGTGAGCCAACCAGCCTGACGGGGCAGGGCAGGCGACCAGCACACTTCCCCGTGGCCAGGCGCTCCAGGGCAAGGCGGGGAGGGCTGTGAGGGGTGAGCGAGGGGCTTTGCCTGGGGCAGCCGGGGCTCTCCCTCTGCAGGGCCGTGGAGGATGGATGAAGAAGACAACAGGGTGCGCCAAGGCCCCTGCTGGGCAGGTGAGGCACTGCAGCATGGAGGGCCCGAGGGTGAGGGAGCAGGAAGGGGGGGGCAGGGCCCTGCAGGCTCTATGATAGGGCTGGTGTTGGGCAGAGAAGTTGCAAATAATCCCCCTCGGGGGAAAAACAGCCCCCCTCCCCCTCGAGCTCTGGGGAGCGTGAGGGGGCATCACAGAGGCGCTCAGCTCCTGTCTAGCGCAGCGGCCCGGGGGGCACCCTGTGCCCTGCTCGCCCCAGGCGGGAGTCCCGCGCTCCGACCCGGGTCTGCCTGCTTTGTGCTATATATAGCGTCTCACCAGATGGCAGCTGCTGAGAGGTCAGGACTCCCTCGGAGGCGGGCCCCTCTTCCAGCTCTAATCCCCTGAATCAAAGGCACGAGGCTTAGAGCCCCCCACAGCACTCCGAATCCCGACCTGAGCCAGCAGGGGATTGTGGGGTGGAGGAGGGGCCTGGGTCAGGTGAGAGTGGGCGCCACGGGGAGGAAGTTGAGGCCAGATGGCCAGAGCCCGGGCCCAGATGGGAAAGCGGGAGGGGCTAGGGCTGGGTCTGGGGTTGGGGGGGCCCTGCCAGTCCCCTTTATTTCTGCTTCCAGGCCCCTTCCTCCTCCTCTGCTGAGGCGTTTTGTCCTCAGACCCCTGACATACTCCCTCCAACTCCATCCCCTCAGTCTCGTTCCAACCACAGTGGGTCCCTGGCCTGAGTGGTGCTGGCCGCAGCAAGCAGGCAGGCAGTCAGACCTCAGGACTTCCCCAGGGAGCGGAGGTGTGGGCACTCACCCATGCAGCTGACAGGCAGCGATCCAGTCCCGCATGACCACCAGGAAGGTGTCCAAGTCCACGGTGGCCCCAGAGCCCTCCCCACTGGGGTCCAGGCTTTGGGCCAATGTTTGCAGGCGCTCATCCTGGGGACCCCGGCCCGTCACCGCCTCCAGGTAGGCCAGCACGTGGGCCACAGCCACAGTGCCTGGACAGAGCATGTCACGAGGGAGTCAGGGGCAGGTGGTGGGTGGGGACGGGCAGTGGCTCGGTCATGTGACACTCTGCCCCAGAGCCTGGGGGCTCGGGTCGTGTGGCACTCTGCCCCAGAGCCTGGGGGCTTGGGTCGTGTGACACTCTGCCCCAGAGCCTGGGGGCTCGGGTCGTGTGGCACTCTGCCCCAGAGCCTGGGGGCTCGGGTCGTGTGGCACCTCTGCCCCAGAGCCCGGGGGCTCGGGTCGTGTGGCACTCTGCCCAGAGCCCGGGGGCTCGGGTCGTGTGGCACTCTGCCCCAGAGCCCGGGGGCTCGGGTCGTGTGGCACTCTGCCCAGAGCCTGGGGCAACACCTTGGGCAAGTCCCTTCCTCTCCTGAGTCAACATTTTCACCTGGAAGTGGGGCCCAGCCCTCCTGACCGCACAGGGTCCACCAGGGAGGACGGCGACGAGGGCCGGTGCTGGCGTGCACACTTGCCTCCCTCCTCCGTCCCAGGCCCCCCAGACCCCCTTCCGTCAGCACCCCCCAAGTTCCCCTCAGCCTCAGGGACCTCCACCACCTCGCCCAGTTCCATCCCAAAGCTCTGGACAGTCACCTGCTTCGCTCTTGCAGGAGCCTCCGAAGGGTCCCCAGCCTCGTCCCCTCTCGCCCCTCCAGTTCCCAGCACCCCCCGCACTGCCTCCCCAGCCCTGCCCTCCGGTCCCTCCCACCTGTGCTCTGGGGGTCACAGGCTTCGAATGTGGAGTTGAGTATTTGCTCCTCTAGGCTGAGCAGCATGCCCGGGCTCAGCTCCTCAGGCTGCTCCCAGGGGTAACCTGAGGAGACAGGAGGCCCAGCTCTGCAGCGAGCAGGAGCCTGGCCCTCGGCCGCCGGGCTCTGCACAGGGAAGGGAGTCCACTCAGCCACCTGGAGCTGGGGCCGGTGGGGGACGGCAGGAGGTGGGGGACGAGAGTCTCCGAGTCACGGCCCCTGGCAGGTCCTGTCTTGCAGGCCAGGAGGTCCCCCCGCTGTCTAACCCCGGTGGCTCAGCCCCCAGACAGTGAACACTGACACTGCTTCTCCTCTCCAGACTCCCCGAATGCGCACAGAAGGGGGCTGGGGTGGGGAAGGACAAAGAGGAGAGGATTCTGGGAGGACCCAAGGGTGAAGGGGGGCGGGAGCCAGGAACAATCCGATACAGTGTGGGCAGCATGGATCGATGTCGACCGCTGCATCTCCGGCCTCCCAGCCCGCCCTGGGGACCAGGTCTGTCCCCACCTCACGACGCCCTGCGGACAGAAGCGAGGCTGGCCTCGCACAGAGCCCACGGCCAGGGGCCTGAGATGCGGGGAGAGAGGGTGGTCCTGGCAGGGGAGCGGGAGCAGCCAGGAGCCGCATCGCTGTGTCAGACTGAGCTGGGCGTGGAGCCCATCTGCGCATCTGTAGACAAATGGCTTCTCCTTTTGGAGCGCCAGTTTCTCTCCTGGATAAAAAGGGGGTGGGGTGGGCAGGGCCACCCCTCTCTCCAGGGCTGGGGGGGGTTAGCTCTGTATCTGGGAAGGAACCCACTCACGGGTCTCCCAGGGTCTGTGTAGACACCTGAGCACTGTGCCTGTATGCAGCCGGTGCTCAATAGATGCGCTATCACATCCACGGAGACCTCGGGCCCAGGGGCTGTGGGGCTGGCCCACTCTCTCCAGGGCCGGAACTGACCTTCCAGACTCTGCTCCGGCCGTGGACAGCTGGGGCAGCCGCTAGCTCGCCGAGGGCCGCCCACCAGGGACGGCCAAGCCTGGAGCTGTGCAGCCCTAGGCTGTGCCGGCTCTGGGGGCACGCCTTTCCCGTCCCTTCAGGAGGCTGTCACTGCTCTCCTGTTCTCTCCGCGTCTGTCTCCCTCTCCCTGGCTCTCAGCCTCCCCCTGCTGCGTCTCCCCCTTTGTATCCTATCTTTCCTCTCTCATCTCCGTGTTTCGTGTTTCTCGGGGCGGCTCTCTGTCCTTGGGCCGGCTCCCCCCACCCCCCACATCTTCCCCATCTCCATCTCTCCTCCTGGGCGTGTCCCTCCCTTCCCTTCGCGAGCTTCCTGGAGCTGGCTCGGTCCCTGCTTGGAGGTTGCCGGTGGCTGCACGCCCTCTGCTGGTGCAGGTGACGTTTCGGGGGCGCCCCTAACTGGTCGGCCGGCACTGCGTCCCGCACCTCGGCACTGGCCTTGGCGCCGCCCGGAAAGCATCCTGAAGCCAGTGTTCAGGCCTGGGCCTTGGGAAAGACGCAGGCTGTGCTGCTGGGTGCCCAGGGAGCGGAGGGAGTGGCCTTGCTTCTCTCGCTGGCCTGGGCCCACCACGGGGGAGGCCTCCTCGCCCATAAGACCGCGCTCTCCTGCCTGGCAGACAAGCTTCCCCGGGCCGCCCACCGCCTTCCCCCTGGAGCCGGCTGTGCGGTCTGCGCCCACCTATTTATTCAGCAGTGGGAACCAACAGGGCAGCCACTGGCTACGCGCGCTCCTGAGCACGTGGACTCCATGTGAACTGAGACGCTCTGCTAAAGTACACACCGGGGCCTGCAGCGTGGCACAGCGGGCTGGGCCTCCGCCTCCAGTGCCGGCATCCCATATGGGCGCCGGTTCGAGACCCGGCTGCTCCACTTCCAATCGTTCTCTGCTGTGGCCTGGGAAAGCAGTGGAGGATGGCCCAGGTCCTTGGGTCCCTGCACCTGCGTGGGAGACCCGGAAGAAGCTCCTGGCTCCTGGCTTCGGATCAGCTCAGCTCTGGCCATTGTGGCCATTCGGGGAGAGAACCAGTGAACCAGCCTCTGTCTCTCTGTAACTCTTTCAAATAAAATAAATCTTAAAAAAAAAAAAAGTACACACCAGATCTTGAAGATTTTGTGTGGAAAAAAAGACTGTCTCAGCACACTCTCATATTGGTTGTATACGCTGTTTGGATCTATAAGGCTCAATACTATCTATTATTACTATTTTTTTTTTGACAGGCAGAGTGGACAGTGAGAGAGAGAGACAGAGAGAAAGGTCTTCCTTTGCCATTGGTTCACCCTCCAATGGCTGCCACGGCCGGCGCACTGCGGCCGGCACACCGCGCTGATCCGATGGCAGGAGCCAGGTGCTTCTCCTGGTCTCCCATGGGGTGCAGGGCCCAAGCACTTGGGCCATCCTCCACTGCACTCCCTGACCACAGCAGAGAGCTGGCCTGGAAGAGGGGCAACCGGGACAGAATCTGGCGCCCCGACCGGGACTAGAACCCGGTGTGCCGGCGCTGCAGGTGGAGGATTAGCCTAGGAAATTCTAATCCTAGGATTAGCCTAGGAATTCACAAATTCCTATGTGGCCCACATTTTTTGGGGCAGTGCTGTGCCAGGGACCAGGGACCAGCTGAATGAAGTGTCGCCTGCGGAGCTCCTGTGGGGAGAGGGACTGAGCAGGCGCAGAAGTCAGGGCCGTGAGGGAGAGGTGACGGGGAAGGGCTGACAGACGGCTGTTTCCCCTAAGGTTTGGCGGTGGCAGCAGGGTGGCCATGGGCGTGGGAGGCGGGGAGCTGCAGCAGACCGGGAGGGCATTCTTGGCCAGGGCTCAGCACAGGCACAGGCGACAGCTGGCCTCCCCAGAGCACACGCCCCAGGGATACAGACCGGTGGGCGGGCTCACGGGAGGCGCTCGGTCCATCACTGCTCCCTTCCTCCCACCCTACATCCGTGCGGAGGTTCAGGTACCCCAAGCCACCGCTCCCAAATCCGAGTCTCGGCCTGGTGCCCCTTCACCCCCAGCTCCCCTGGCGCGGAAAGGGGCCCAGCCACCTACTTTGTGCTGCAGGGCCACCAGCCCGGCTCTCCGGCAGGTCCATGGGCCTCCCTGGCTACTCCACGGCTGCTGGAGAAGCTAGCAGCCCCCTCCCTCGCCGGGAGGGAGAGGATGGGGCCTAGCAGCTGAGCGCTCCTGGAGGGACAAGCAGGGCAAAGCCTTCTCAGAGCGACACCAGGCACCTGCGCCGCCGGCCACTCCACGTCCTCAGAACCTGTTTGCCACCCCCGCCTTTACCCACGGCTCCAGCTCCAACCTGTTTTATGAACTGGTGGTGTGGGCTGGCAACACGTGGGCGGCAGAGATCAAAGGGGCCTCGCGGGTGGGGGTCCCAGCCTCCCCTTGGGGAGACTCCTGTGCGGCCAAGTCCCCAGTCCTATCCCTTCTCTCCACACCTCTGCCCTGCCTGGACTCATCCCCCATCCCCCAGCCAACCAATCCGGCCCCACAGAGCCCCAGAGCTGACCCGTTCCTCCCCGAACCGACGCCTTCCACGCCCGTCAGCACCCTGGGCCGGAGCCTGGCTGGACTTGGTGACAAGGCCCTGCTTACCCCCCTCCCGGCCCAGCTGTCCTCACGGCCGAGCCTCTGCCTGGGACGCCCGCCTCGCCTTCCTGTGTTGGCTCCCTTGTGCCCTCTGGAAACCGTGTCCGGTCTCCACCCCAGGCTGAGCCAGGCGCTGCGTCTGGGTTCCCACATGGCCCTGTGCAGCTGACACCTTGCCACGCACGTGCTGGCTTGTGTGGCACCGCCGGCCTCTCCCGCGCCTTTGGGCCCTCTTTCCCCTGCCTCAGCCCTTCCGGGGCTCCCTGGACCCCTGCACTGGCTGGTAGCCCCTCGGCTGGAGCGGCACGGAGTGGTTATTCCATCTCCTCAACTCGTTTTTCCTCCTCTAAAGTCGATAGTGTGGGTGTGTGCTGGAGCTGGGGGTGGGGCCAAAAGGGAGAGCCCCCTCCCATGCGCTGGTTCAGCTCCCAGATGCCTGCGATGGCCAGGGCCGGCAGGGCTGACGCTGGGAGCCCCCCACCCCGCCCCCCAGGGTCTGCATCGAGTCAGGAGCCTGAGCCCAGGACCAGACCGACCTCCGCTCTGGGACACGGTGACTTCACGGCTCCGGGGGACCCCGTGCCCTTGACCTTTCTCAGCCGAGCCTCGGGGTCCCTCAGCGTCACTAGGTGCAAGCCAGCCGCTCCCCCGTTTCCACTCGGGGTGACCCACGGTCCTCCGAGGCCCGGACACACAGCCCATGCCTTCTCCTTACCGCTCGGGGTCAGGGGAGGCTTCCTGGAGGCCACGGGCCCTCGAGGGCCTCCCAGCTCTGGCTGCCACCTCCGCCCTTACCGTGCAAACTCCAGGACCCTTCCTGGACAAAGCCCCCGAGCCCCGTGCCCACCGCCCGGATTCCGGCTGGAGAGAGGCCCCCTGTCTTTCCCCTCCCCTTCCCAGCCTCCTCTGCGGTTTAAGAAGGTTCTGGAAAGGGTAGCGCGGAGGGGGAGCCTCTGCCAGGGGCTTGGCTCACAGCACGGGGGTAGGGGTGGGTCAGGGAGTTGGGGGTGCAAAGGTGGGGAGGTGTGGCCCTGTGAGCTGGGAGCAGCTTCGCAGGCTAGGATTTGGGGTGCGCTTGAGAGGATTCCGGGGCGACGGCGGCCTCTAACAGGATTTTGACAGGGAGGCTCTGACAGGTTCGGAGGGCCAAGTCTGACGGAACTTCTAGAAGATTCGGACAGGCTGTTAGGCGTCCCTCGCAAGATGTCCTAGTGGGTCTTGGTCAGGATTTCAAGTGGGACGGGGAAGGTCCGGGTACTGGCGGGTTCGGGGAGGGGCTCCGCAGGGCTACTGTGGGCATCTCCACACAAGCAGGGCGCACCTGGAGTCCTCTTCCAGCCTCAGGGCGCCGCCGACGGTCACCAGCACGAACCGCGGGAAAGGGGTGCGCCGGCGTCGCCCGCCACGGAACAGCGAGCACACGGGCTGCGCCCAGGGGGCGCTCGCGCGCGCCCAGGCCCCGCCCCGCCCCGCCCCGCCCCGCCCCCGCCCGCGGCGCACGCGCGCAGGGGGAAGGCGCGCGCCTCTCCGGGCAGTTACCTGTGCGGGCGAGGTCGCGCATGCGCAGGGCTGCCCCGGCGGCCCTGTGGAGCGAGCGCATGCGCGCTGGCAGGGTGGCTTGGCCCGCTGCAGGGTTTAGCGCTGGTGGCTGTAGGGCGGGCACGCCGGGTCCCTCCTGGTTGGCTCCGAGCGTTGATGAAATAGGGCCGAGCAGGGAAAAGTCGGTCTGAGCCGCCAAGCTGTGCCCTTTCTGCCCTCTGTTCGTGCCAGGCGGCCTGGCGTCGGCGCCGTCACAATGATGGCTGGCCCATCTCACCCCAACCCTCTCACTCCGCGCCCTTTCGTGGCTCAAGTCGCGCTGTGTTTCTGTAGGTCCCTGAAGGCTTCTTTAACTAACCGTCTCATTCATTCCTTTTTGGAGAGGATGGAGTTAAGCATACTCTTGACTTCTTGCTGGAGAGATTACGTTACTCCCAAGAAGGAGCCTGGAGGCAAAGGATATCCCACCTGTGCAGCCTCTCGGCCAGTCCAGAGCAGGGAGGAACCCCTCTTCTGCACGCTGTCGCTCATCCGACCATCGTTTCGCCCGGCTGTCGCTTCAGAGAGGCCTCGCTCTGCACCCCTGGCGCCCTCCACCTTACAAAGAAAAATGGCGGTGCTGGCACAGCAGGTGGAGCCGCAGCCTGGGACACGGGCACCCATATGCAAGCGCCTACTGCAGTCCTGGCTGCGCCGCCGCTTCAGATCCAGCTCCCTGCTGATGCCCCTGGGAATGTGGGAGACCCGGCGCAGTTCCAGGCTTCAGGTTCAGCCTGGCTCAGCCAGGCAGTTGCTGCCATTTGGGGAGTGAACCAGCGGATGGACGACGTCTCCGTCTCTCCCTCTGCCTTTCAGATAAAATAAAAATTGTTGAATGAATGAATGCATGCATGTGGAGTGACGCAGTCCGGCATTCCTGGATCTGAATTTTGGCTCCAATGCTTCCTAGCTATGACCTTTGCAGAGTGACCCACCTGCCACTCAATTTTCCTCCCAGAATGGAGTTGCGTTGATGGCACCTTGGGTGGCAATCCAGTGCTCCTGGGAGTTCTGTGTTAACTGGTGGTTATTATTTTGATGACTAGAAAGGGCTTGTTACAAGGCTGGGAGGAGTCTGTTTGGCAGGTGGTATGAGGAGTGGTGAAGTGCACGAGACAAGGGATCAGATAAACCTCCAGCCATTGCTGTGTGGTCTTGGCAAATGACTTCACCTCTCTGAACCTCGGCTTCTCTAAATTGGGACAAATAATGTTTACAATAAGCATGTGTGTTTTCTTACTGCAGACTGGCATGGTGGTGGCCCCCTTAGCTGTATCAATAGTCCGTTCTTCTGGGGTGGGCATTTGCACAGTCACTCCTTGGGACACCCTCACCCCCTATCGGAGTGCCTGCCTTGAGTCCCAGCTACTGTGCTGCTGATCCGTCTTCCTGCTAACACGCACCCTGGGAGGCGGCGGGTAGCTGAGTCCACGCCAACCAAGTGGGGTACCTGCAGTGAGTTCCTGGTTCCTGGCTCCAGCCTGGCCCAGCCCTGGCTATTGTGGGCATTGGGGAAGCTCGCTCTCTCTGTCTTTTTCTGTACCTTTTTATATACTTACAGATTTTATTTTATTTTAAAAATTATGTTTTTTTTTTTTTTTTGACAGGCAGAGTGGACAGTGAGAGAGAGAGACAGAGAGAAAGGTCTTCCTTTGCCGTTGGTTCACCCTCCAATGGCCGCCGCGGCCGGCGCGCTGCGGCCGGCGCACCGCGCTGATCCAATGGCAGGAGCCAGGAGCCAGGTGCTTTTCCTGGTCTCCCATGGGGTGCAGGGCCCAAGCACCTGGGCCATCCTCCACTGCACTCCCTGGCCACAGCAGAGAGCTGGCCTGGAAGAGGGGCAACCGGGACAGAATCCGGCGCCCCGACCGGGACTAGAACCCGGTGTGCCGGCGCCGCTAGGCGGAGGATTAGCCTAGTGAGCCGCGGCGCCGGCCTAAAAATTATGTTTTAAGATTTATTTATTAGGCTGGCGCTGCGGCTCACTGGGCTAATCCTCCACCTTGCGGCACCGGCACACCGGGTTCTAGTCCCGGTCGGGGCGCCGGATTCTGTCCCGGTTGCCCCTCTTCCAGGCCAGCTCTCTGCTGTGGCCAGGGAGTGCAGTGGAGGATGGCCCAAGTGCTTGGGCCCTGCACCCCATGGGAGACCAGGAGAAGTACCTGGCTCCTGCCATCGGATCAGCGCAGTGCGCCAGCCAGGGCAGCCATTGGAGGGTGAACCAATGGCAAAAAGGAAGACCTTTCTCTCTGTCTCTCTCCCTCTCTCACTGTCCACTCTGCCTGTCAAAAAAAAAAAAAAAAAAAAAAAGATTTATTTATTTACGTAAAAGGAAAAGAGATGAGAGAGAGAGATCTTCCATCCACTGCTTCACTCTCCAAATGGCCTCAATAGCCAGAGCTGAGCCAGGCTGGAGCCAGCATGCAGGAGCTCCACGTAGGCCTCTCACATGCGTGGCAGGGCCCCAAGTGCTTGGGGCACCCTGGGAGGCCTTCCCAAGTACATTAGCAGGGAGCTTTGGGAAGTGGGTCACCTGGGACTCTGATGTGGGTGCTGGCTTTGCAAGTGGAGGCTTAACCCCTGCATCACAGCGCCCCCCTCTGGATCTTCATACCACAGGAGCCCTTCAAGGGCCCTGCTGACAACGCACTTGTAAGATGCTTGGGCAGGGTTCTCTCTTTTTCTATTCCATTCGTAGGAAGTGCTTGTGTATGACGTGTTATTATCCTTTATATGTCTGGAAGGATTCATCAGTGATAACATCTAGAGTCAGTGTTTTTCTTGTGGGAATTCCTTCATAAAAATATAAATATTAGAGGGCCGGCACTGTGGTTTAGTGGGTTAAGCAACCGCCTGCAGCGCCGGCATCCCATACGGGCACCTGTTCAAGTCCCAGCTGCTCCACTTTGCATTCAGCTGCCTACTGATGTGCCTGGGAAAGCCTCGGAGGATGGCTCAAGTGCTTGGACCCCTGTGTCCATGTCCGAGACTGGAGGAAGCCCCTGGCTCCTGACTTCAGCCTGGCCCAGCCCTGGCTGTTGTGGCCACTTGGGAAGTGAACCAGTGGATGGAAGACCTCTCACTTTAACTCTGCCTTTCAAATTTCACACACACACACACACACACACACACACACATATTCAGATGTTTAATTTTTGGTAAACTGTTGTTCAAGGAATTGGTCTTTTTTATCTCAAACTTCAAAATTATTTACATAAAATTGTTCATATGTTCTCTTATTTATCTTCTTAATAGCTGTGAAATCTGTGGTGACAGATATTAGTAACTTGTGCCATTGTGGTTTTAGGTTTCATAAGTTTTATTATGATGTGACTACCTGTGGTTTTGTGTTTATTATTCTCTGAGTTCCTAATGTTTGAATTTGTGAGTTGACATCTTTCACCAATTTTGTAAAATTCTTTTTTAAAAAAAGGTATATTTTGGCCAGCGCCGTGGCTCACTAGGCTAATCCTCCACCTTGCGGTGCCGGCACACCGGGTTCTAGTCCCGGTTGGGGCGCCGGATTCTGTCCTGGTTGCCCCTCTTCCAGGCCAGCTCTCTGCTGTGGCCCGGGAGTGCAGTGGAGAATGGCCCAAGTGCTTGGGCCCTGCACCCCATGGGAGACCAGGAGAAGCACCTGGCTCCTGCCTTCGGATCAGCGCGGTGCACTGGCCGCGGCAGCCATTGGAGGGTGAACCAACGGCAAAGGAAGACCTTTCTCTCTGTCTCTCTCTCTCACTGTCCACTCTGCCTATCCAAAAAAAAAAATCTATTTTGGGGCCAGCATTGCGATGTAATGGGTTAAGCCACTGCCTGCAACAGCTGGCGTGTCATGTGGGTGCCAATTCCAGTTCCCAAATGCCCCACTTCTCACCCAGCAGAACCCAGAAATTCCTGGCTTCTGGCTTCTGCCTGGCCCAGCCTTGGCAGTTCTGGCCATCTGGGGAGTGAACCAGCAGATGGAAGATCTCTCTATCTCTCCCTCTCTCTCTCTGTGAATAAATAAAATAAACCTTAAAAAATAAAAAGATTTGTTTTATTTATTTGAAAGGCAGAGTTGCAGTGAGAAAGGGAGAGACAGAGGAGAAAGAAAGCGAGGTCTTCCATCCACTGGCTCACTCCCCAGATGGCCACAACAGCTGGAGTTGAGCTGATCCGAAGCCAGGAGCCAGGAGCTTCTTCCAGGTCTCCCACGCCAGTGCAGGGGCCCAAGCACTTGGGCCATCTTCCACTGCTTTCCCAGGCCATTAGCAGGGAGTTGGATCAGAAGTGAAACAGCCGGGACTCGAACCCATGCCCATATGGGATGCTGGCGCCGCAGGCCGGGGCTTTAACCTGCTGCACCACAGCACCAGCCCCCTGAATTTCAATTCTTGTTTCAGGACTGTGAGAAGGCCAGATTCTCTTCCTGGTTCTTTATCATCTGGTAGCGACTTTCTGCTGATTTCTTAGCGTTCTCCTGGCGTGAGCACAACCTAGGAGCTGGCAGGTGCCCGGATGTGAAGCTGCCTGCCAGATGCCAGACTGTCTACGCGTCCCTGCTCCCAGGCCTCATGAGCCCTTGATTCATGGCTGCACTGGCTACCCTGATGCTGCCCGATGTGTGTGTGTGTGTGTGTGTGTGTGTGAATACATATTTACATTTTAAGTATGTATTTGAAAGACAGAGGGGGACAGAGGCAGGTGTCCCATCTGCTGGTTCACTCCCCAAAATGCCCACAACAGTCAGAGCTGGGCCAGGCAGAAGCCAGGAGCCTGGAACTGAATCCAGGCCTCCCACGTGGGTGGCAGCGACCCAAGTACTTGAGCCATCTCTGCTGCCTCCCAGGTGCGCAGCCAGAGGCTGGAACGGGGAGTGGCGCTGGGGTCAGTTCCAGGCACCTCAGTGTGGGATGTGGGGGTCCTAACCACCAGGCCAACCCCATCCCAATGATTGTTTTTATTTACTTGTGTTCAGCTTTTATGTTTAGTTTTAGTGGGACAGCTTTTCAGACACTGGCTACTCCCTCACAGTGGTAAGAAAAAGTCTAAATAATACTTTCAATAGTATTTTTTTAAATATGTATTTATTTATTTGAAAGGCAGAGTTACAGAGAGAGAGAGGTCTTCCATCTGATGGTTCACTCCCCAGATGGCTGCAATGGCCAGAGCTGTGCTGATCCAAAGCCAGGAGCCAGGAGCTTCTTTCCGGGTCTCCCACGTGGGTGCAGGGGCCCAAGGACTTGGGCCATCTTCACTGCTTTCCCAGGCCACAGCAGAGAGCTGGGTCGGAAGTGGAGCAGCCGGGACTTGAACTGGCGCCTGTATGGGATATCAGCACTGCAGGCGGCGACTTCACCCGCTACGCCACAGCGCTGGTTCTGGATAATCTTTTTGATGAATGAATAGATTCATGTTACTTCCTTGATTGAAATCACATCCCAGCCGGCACCGCAGCTCACTAGGCTAATCCTCCACCTTGCGGCGCCGGCATACCGGGTTCTAGTCCCGGTCGGGGCGCCGGATTCTGTCCCAGTTGCCCCTCTTCCAGGCCAGCTCTCTGCTGTGGCCAGGGAGTGCAGTGGAGGATGGCCCAAGTGCTTGGGCCCTGCACCCCATGGGAGACCAGGAGAAGCACCTGGCTCCTGCCATCGGATTAGCGCGATGTGCCGGCCGCAGCACGCTGGCTGTGGCGGCCATTGGAGGGTGAACCAACGGCAAAAGGAAGACCTTTCTCTCTGTCTCTCTCTCTCTCTCACTGTCCACTCTGCCTGTCAAAAAAAAAAAAAAAAAAAAAAAAAGAAAGAAAGAAAGAAATCACATCCC